CTGAATGCCAAACTGAAGTTCTCGGCTGACGAATACCGTATACAAAGTTAGAAATACCTTAACACGGTCTTAGTTAAATCAAGATGATTTAAAAGACAAGGACTTCGAGTTGATTGATGGTCACTGTGCAGAATATATTTAAGGGGCTTATATGAACTGCAGGGAAAGGCATTTTTTGGTATTAATTTCGCTAAAGTAGTCTGAAAATAACGAGTATTACCACAGTCATCATCCACCGGTCATATTGTACTATTGTCTATTTATTAGAGTCCGTTGGCTTGCGTGCGAATAAAGGCATTTTGGGGATTCTGTGATCTTTTATACTAGCTCCTCTTCATACAATCTTCTAGACTTATAGAGGGTTGAAGTAAAAATAATTAGAGATTCCAGATATTGAGATCTTGTCTCACCAGTGCCTAGCGTCCCAAGTTCGTACCACATTCTTTTCTTTGTACGAGTATGATTGAAAACTTACTGAGTCACAGTGGGAAATTTCTTGAATTTCTTGATGTAGTTTGAGGAATGTACGGTGCATTTACGTTGATGCGAAAATTTCTGAGTACCTTCCAAGATGTTTTAGTGAGTGATTCTGGTTCTGTCGTCTAATCTGAGAGTTCGTTGAGTGCGAAACGTTTTCTAGGTTTTTTTCCAAACGTGTGGTTCGGCTTTAGTCGACACATCGTCGCTGATAACTATATGAAAATCAAAGTCTAGAACGGTATAGTCAGTTTTATTTAGGGGTGGCATGCAATCAAAGTTTGGATGGAACTTGCAGAAGTGGTGTTTGTCCAATAGTATGTGAAATATTGAGCCTCGACGAAAACATAAAATATTATATTATGGTCATTTTAAGCGAATCTAGCAACACAAAAGAGGGATGATCGAGTTGCTGACTAGCAAACATTGTTGGTGAGGGCGATGACTACTATCAACCCTTAGTTGTGAGCCGGAGCATTTTGTTTACATCTCGCTCTTTTTGATTGATGAGCTGACTAATCAGCGGTACTGAGGCTGCTCTTATACACTTGCCAGTTGTGAGATACACGTTTCTGGTTTTATGCCGCGATCGCTATTCTGCTAAGACAACCTGCAACATGCTTACTCAAGCAATTACTGTATGACTTGGAGATTGGCGTCTGATTTGAAAAGTTAGGGAGTAAACAACATAATTATCAGTATTTATCGCAAACTTCGCTCTTCTTGCTGAACACGTATCTAGCTTCTAACTTCAACTTACCTCTGCACCTTAACACACATCACAACCGATTATTATCCATTGCTGTACTCCCTAAGTTGAAGGCAATACTATCACAATTAATTTTAATTTTAGTGGTCTGTGTGGATTTTGTCTTAACTTACCACTGCTTTATCTGCTCCATTATGAACAGTTAAATAGTGCTCTGGCTCTGAATTATGCAACCCACCCAAGAACTCTGCCACACATCCACTCTATTTGCAATCACTTGTTGAAAATGTGGGTCTATCAAACTTTTCCTGTCGGTGACGTTGCGTAAACCGGCAGTCAGAAACAGACTCCGATTAATAATCTGACAGTGCAACCTTTTACAGTAAAATTCTGATCTTGCTTGTAAAGTGACATGTCTCATGTATTTATTTGAGAATAAATATATATTATTATTATCACTACAATGGGTTAATGTAAGAGTTAGTAAGGATGATCGGGAGTTCGTTCGTAGGTTGTTGCTCGTTTCACATGTTGAACCTGGCATGCGAGACAACCGAAACAGGTAGTTCCTTTCTGAAATAATCTTCTGACAGAGCGAATTTCATATTTTACCATTTGCAAGAAGGTGGGTTAATCTCCTGAAATTAAGCACCAATCACCTAAAGACCGAGCGTTGAGCTTGTCTATAAAGATCTCGTTCACCTCAAACTTCTAGATGCAATAAAATAAGCTGGTCAGCAGCTGTTGTATCTTGCTTTTCAAGCGGCAACTAAATAGCTGTCACTATCTACTGTCATGGGATATGATGTCAATAGCGATAAAGGGGATAATATTTCTAGTAAATTTAGCTACCTTCCCCCCTACGATTCTGGCTCAGGTCATTTCCAGACAATTCTGGCTGAGATATTTATTGTCTACAGGCTGATTTACTAGATTTTTTATGGCAGCAACGACATACGGGCTAGTAAAGTCTATTTCCGCACCTAGCATTTGCGTCACAAACGTAAAGGCCATTTAGATGACTGACTGGTTCACCCAAATTGGTCTCAGTATGATTCTTTGTTAAACCCTCATCAACCAAAAACTTACAATTCTAAGGACATTGTCTCCAGAATATAAACTGTGTTTCGGTTATATTTCGGCTTCTAGGTTTTTGACATTGTCTGCAATTGAGATGTCTTAAGGGACAAGAACTTTTAACCACTACAGCTTCTGATTATTTTGCGGCAGTAAGTTTCTTTTATTGAGAGATTCAAATGATTCATTTGGAGGCGTGGTTTGATTTTTTATTAGTACTTTAGACTTTCTGGTCTATAAACTTCCAGTAGCTATTATAAGGGATATCTCAAGTCATTGGCTAATTTGGTTGACTTTTTATCTAGGCATTCTCATTCTTGGAAGAAATCTCGGGCTCAGTTATTTTTCTCTCGTTTAATCTGTCAAGAATAACTAACTTGCCAATGTGATCAGTTTTCGATTTTGGAGCTGCTGTTGTGGAATCTGGCTCTTGCTTAACGACCAAAGCCAGTTATTTTTGTGAGTTGTATCGATTCAATTCAATCACAGCTGAGTCGGGCACAGTGTGAAATCCTTGATGATTGACAGAAGCTTGATTGATCATATTGTAATTTTATTCAGGAAACAGACCTAACCATGGGTTTCTTAACTACACCCACTTAGAGGACGGTGCGCGGAAGAAACCTATTCTCTTGAATTCTCCGGAGTCAGTCTTTCTTCATTTAGCCCATGTAAGTCAATGGATCTTGACTTTGATGACTGAACATATAGTCGCTTTTGAACTACCTTTTAGCAGGGTTTGCCATTACAGTGGCATAGGGTAGCGAGCACTTTGTGTCCAAGTAGCACTGATGGAACAACCAGACACATTCATGTTTGCTAAAAAGCTTAAAAATTAAAAGTGTTATATTTGTGCAAACGTTGTGGTACCGTTTTTTGCATTCATCTAACTGCATATCACTTTCAAAGGGGTATTAACAGCTCAAACAATATCCAGACATCGGAGAGAGGTTTCTGAATGGCTTAGGGAGGTGGAGACGAAAATTGAATACCAAGAAAGAGAAAATACCTAGGTTCGTGAACTTCTTTTCTCATTGAGAGTTGTCGCAACACTTAATGCTCTCCGAGTCGAGGTGACCACATAGCCTCAGTTGATCGCTCCAAGAACAGACTAGAGAAGCACGTACTAACATACGGGTTATCATCTCCATCTTGGACCACCTGTGTCTGATGCCTGTCTTGTGACACGCTGGTTTTTATTGTTGCCACCTCAGATCAGCAACTTAACCTATCCCGCTTATTATCTCCGTTTTCTTTCTCTCTCTTACAATTCGCTCCTCCCGTACTATCTTCACCTGCAAACGATTCACTTATCTATTAACTTATTTACTCAGTTTTGAAATCTTATCAGCATTTGAATTTTCTCCTTGTTATTCGCCACATTGTAACTAACTGATATCCACCCTGGTAAAGTGATGGCTGCTGGTATCCAGAAGACGTATTTCCCTGAAACAAATCATGGGACATACAAATTCACAAACAACTGCCAACTGACCAGAATTGGAGCAGTCGAGTGGCTAGACTACCAAGCATTGGAAACTACAAAATACCTGGAACCGTGCTGAAAGAAGAAGAATCGAGCACAAGGATATTTACTGTTTTATAGTGGCTCCTGATAAAGGCAATAGATACTGGAATCGCTAAGTCCAAATGTGCAGAAAACATAAAAAGTCCAGTAGACTCATTTAAATAAAGGTCCGAGATTACGCTTGGGCAAAAAAATACTGCTATTGATGTTACTTTAAAAAATTAATTCACTTGCATTGAACACAGTAATGATGATTAGTAACAGCGATCAGATCTGTCTCGCCTATTATCTCTGTTTCCTCTCCCTTGCTTACACTTCGGTCCTCTCTCACAATCTTCACTACCAATTAATAAACTAAATTCATCTATATTTAACTGAGTTCTGAAATTTTATTCATATTATCATTAGAATTTTGTCCTTATTACCCTTATTACTCTCCATATTGCAACTAACTGATCTCTGGTCTGGTAATGTGATGACTGCTAATATCCAGAAATCCTACTGCCCTGAAACAAACGTTTTCATTCAAATCCCGAGACATACAAACTGACAACCAACTGCCAACTGACTAGAATTAGACAGTCGAGTGGCTAGACCTCCATCCATTGGACATTACCGAACACCTGGAACCGTACCGAAAGAACAAGAATCGAGCGCGAAGAAATCAAACTTGTTTACACTAGCTCGTGAAAAAGATATTGGAGAACAGTAAACCCAAGTTGGCTACGAAAAATACCGATGTTCTTTTTCACTAGTGCCTAATAATATACTATACGTTGTTGAAGATTTTGGAGTAGCTTGAAGTTTATCATAGTACGGCTAAACCTAAATAAAGTTTCAGGCTGTTTCGTTTCAGCCGCTTTTCGAAAAGCTTATAAATTGTCGAGGTGACGCACCAATCGTTTTGTCAGCCTTTGACCTTCAAGCATGCAACAACCTTCAGAAAAGCGGATGGTGACTGTAAATAGTTGTCTAACACGTTTAAAATCCCTCCTACTCCGACTCCTTGTTTAGACTGCCCATTTGTTTTACATCTCGTTTGCAATACTACTAATTTTTCTGCAGCTTTACATTCAGAAATGTAAGCATATTTCTGTACTCCGAGTTTCCCATTCTAGTTAATGTAATGTAAACAAGATTATTCTTGTTTTTTGTTTTCAGAAGCTCTTCTACGTCTGCTACGACTGAACCCAATTTTACCACATCAAAATGGCTTCGGTTGATAGTGTTGGCGAAAGCGAACTTAAGGTTTGTGCCTGAGTTAATTTGGTATTTTTCTCAAATTAGAAAGAGTCAGAAAAGCTTCGTGCCAAATACCCTGGTTTGGTTAACAATGCATCATCGTTGTTACATCGACGTCTGAGTAAAAACGTAAGTATAAACGATCATTCACTCGTTAATGAAGCTTAACACTCGTTTGTAAGCTGAAGTTTAATTGTAAGTGTTGAAACACAATATCTTTAAGTCTTCGTTCATACAGTTTACAAAACTTTAATAATTAACATGAGAGTTATCTAAGAGAGTTGTGTTGGAATAACACTCTTGGAGCTAAGAACAAAATATGCTAGCTTTTTACTCTTATAAACATGTCTACAAATATTTAGATAGCTATACTTGACCGGTGATGTACACCTTTTTGTTGAGATATGGAAGTTCTAGACAGATTTGGATATTCATTGGGTAATTTCAATGGATAAAATCTTAACTCGAGATGAGTTGGGATAGCTTACGATAATTCTAGATTTAGGTTTTTCCTTGAGTACAGATGTCTCAAGGAATACCTTAGTTATTTTGTGGTACACGTTTGTATGGAGTTTTCTTTTGAGTAACTGAAGCAAACTTTACTTCTAACCGAAGGTTCTTAGGGTTAGTTACTTAGTGGTGAAACATCCACTTAGTTTTTTGAAAGGAATCACTTTTTTAGCTATTTACTCCAACCACACACCAATTTTAGGGTTTATTTCCATTCCTCGGGTTTTCCTACTGTTGATCTTCATTGAATTTCATTGCAATACTAGTAACCGACATTGGAGTCTCGCAATGTATTATTTATTCCTTATTAGACTAACGTGTCTTCCAGTTGTTTAAAGTCATTCTCCTTTAATTATCATGACCCACTTCTTATTTAAAGATCTATCATGGAACCACTACATTGAATGGTGCGTTTGACTTGGTCATAAGTTACGAGGATCAATAATTTTGATTTATTTAACTTTTTAGAATCTAATTTGGATCAGACTATAATTACTTCTATAATATGTGGCTTGATGTAATCTAGTGTTTTGTCTACGTAGGTGAAATATTTCGATTCTGGTGACTATAATATGGCTAAGTCAAGGCCACTAATAAAGGACTCACTCCCATCGGGTAATTTGGGTTCACCAACGGGGGATACTATTCCTACTGTGGATAATATATCTATTCTACGCAATAAAAGTATTTCATTACAAAACAATACTACTGTGTCGTCACAGCCAACCACAACTACAGCTACAACACCAACAAGTAACTCACAACAACAACAACAACCGCATGTCGCTACATAACTATACCAGATCGTACGCAGAGTGCTAAATAAGTTTTATAAAATTACAGCCCAGTTGCTGATATCTCATCGTTCCATATTTGATTCGGATTGATTACGTTAGTCTTTCATATTATTCACTGCACAATTTTCGATATTTATGATAACTCTAAAGGATTTTCTTTTTAATACTCTTAATAATGTGATCCTTTTCCATATACTTAAGCTTCCATATTATGTTTTCTTAATAATTTCCTGATTTGTAATATAAATGAATTTTTAGAACAAGTGATACTAGACAATTATTTTATGTTTTGATCAAATTGTTTTTTCCTACGTTTGTCCAGTGTAATGGACACTGTTGGCAATAGATTTTTATCAACCTTACTGTTATGGAAAAGTTGATGATTTATGATGGCGAACGTTTAGGGATTACGAAATAAATAATTTGTTTGCTTAAACACAGTTATTGGTACAAAGGGGTACCTAAATATTTATGCACCGCACAAATTATTTGGTCTCTGTGTGGGCTGAGATACTGCCAGGCTTCCCAAACAGAAGCAGATAGATTCCTAAGGAGCTACTCCTTGATATTGATCGATAGATGAAATGCAGTAATACGATCTGGTTAAGTGTTGGGTACTCTCAAGGGTAGATTATCGTCACGGTCCTCCTATTGCATTGAAGTGAAAGATGAATCCACTAACCAGAAAAATAGTTTATTTTCTCTTATCAAACCACATGCTTGTACGTGGTTTATTCACAAAATAAACATAAATAAATGATATAAACTGTTGGAGGATATCAGTTTTGTATACTATTGACTTTCCAGAAGATTAACATTAGATTGTTAGGTTTAGTTTCTACTTATCACATCACTTCAATACACTTTTGTCCCAGTTTAATGTTTTAATCTCTACTGCTGGTGAAGACTAAACCGAATCTTAAGCCTATAGTTTTATGGAATTCACTGATTTGAATTCAAAGGCGAAAAAACAGAACAGTTTAGTTTTATTTTGAGACTACTTAACAGTAATCATTTTTGTATCTCATGAGTTTCAGAAGTTCTTTATTCCCAACTCTAAACATTCTCGTAAGACTGCCAAACCGAGATCCTAAGGCTGCTGAGTTTAGTGTCCTTGCATACTGGTTTGCATTAGTATGTAATGTAATGTGCTCAACATCTGAAGTGAACATACCACTGTTTTTTGATAAAAGTAATGTTTTGTCAGAAAGTGCTTAACATATTGCCTGGTCGATAAGAAAGTGATGACCAAAAATATGCCAATAAATTATAAAGTTATAGGCTACTATGTAATTAGGTGGCAGTGTAAGTCGCGAATGCCTAATAAGTGGGTGTACTGTAGTTTATGTTTATGGTACAGTTCGATCAATTTGACAGGATATTGACTTTTCGGGTCAATAAATAAAAATTGCGTAGAATATGTGGCGAGATTTGAGCCTTTCATTTACTGGAACCACACTTTAATTACCTGAGGATAATCAACCAGATATCTCATCATTATTCCTCACAAATAGATTGTTAATTAGAAGAGGATATACAAAGCTGTCCTTGTTTTCAAGTTAAATTACCATCAACTAACTTATTTACAGAAATTTTATAGGTGATAATAAGTGATGTCATTCTCAGAGTTTAATTATGCTTAACATCTCTCGGATTCAAATTTTGTAAGTTTGATCATTTTCTGTAGTTGTGAAGCAAAACAGACTTAAGCGGCTATGCATGGCTTAAATTTGTTTTAGAACGAGTGATAGGATTAGGTTTAACGTTAATGCACGAAGCATTCAATGCCATCATTGCATTCTTAGTATTATTAATCATCAAATGTAACAAGTGAGTATTACACGTTTTAAGTAGTACTAGAGTAATTTCATATGAAATGGCGAGGCCTTGATATGCTTATTATAAGATTCGACATCTAATTATAGTTTTCAGTAACGCTTCAGCTACTTTTATTTTAGCTGTCAGACAGTATATCCCTAGCTCTTCTAACAAAAACTATGGCATAAAGACAGTTATACAGGTATTTAATTAATTTTTGAGTCTTATTGATCGGTTACCTAACGGTTTACGAGAAAATCTTGTAGTAGGGTAATGGGAGGGAATTGTAAGTGACTGTTAGAGCTAATCTTTGGGAATCGTATGAGTTATAAATTCGATATATATATTTCTTTATATGTTATTAAGTTTATAACTTATGAAGTTAACCTAGTTGTAGGTGAATCAATAACTCATTGATGGATTATACTAGATGTTATTGTTACTTTGTTGTGAGTGTTCGAATTCGGGATGTCCGATTGTTGGGGAGCGTGTCGCTTTTGGCTATGATCACCACTACAGACCAGTTACGTTCCCGTCACTAAGTATAATATCTCCGTGGATCAAGAAGAGAGAAGAGTTAATCCGTACAAGGAAATATATTTGCTGGCGATTTCGTGGTATCTTTAAAATACCGAAATCGTGCCAGAGAAAAAGGGGTGAAGTTACAGTGAACAGTATAAACAAACAAACATAAACGGAAAGTTTGCGCGTGGTACAGTTGGTTATAATAATGAATGTTCCCATTAAGTCAATCGCGTTCTCTTCATAAAAGTGGAGTCGTTATAACTTTCTGCGAGACGTGAAGGTCCTTGGTTCGATTCTAATATGGAGTCGTAAGTGCTCATTTGTTGAGGTCCTCAAACTAAAATTAAACAACTGGATTTCCAACAATTTTGCAAATGATTCAAAATTGTGATGAAAATATTTGAAAATTATATAAAAGACATGCATCTGATACCAGTTTTTTCGTTGACATGCAATTTATATTTAAATGTAATATTTAACAAGTACAAACTAATTTGCCATTCTAAAATACTTATATTAGCCGAAATCATTACCTTTAGGCTTTTCAGAGATTAGTACAGTTTAGTATTATTATTATTATACTGTTTATATATAACCATAAGATAAAAAAAAAATAATTTTTAAATATTAATAAATGATTCAAAAGATTTTAATAATAAATCATTATACATTATTTAACTAATATGCTATGTAATCTTATCTATTACCTAAAACATAGCTCACCATTAAATGAAATAATGTGTACTATCATGAAAAATGTACTTTTTAGTAACCTTGAAATATCACATTTAATAAATATATATAAGGTAGTTTTTAAAGATTTATACAGTATACTTCAAAAACATTTATCGCAAGTGGGTAATATTTGTTTTATTCTAGTTTGTGACTCATCACTATGCGATATCATTCTTCACACAAATAATCACACCTAGGAGTTTGAGATTTTTCTGATTACTTGACTACTTTAAACCACTTATTTAGAACCAAATAGTCTAGCATTAAAAAAAAATCCAGTTGATACATGATAAAAGCACAACAATCATCATCCAATGCAATCGATCAGTTACAGTCCAATTCTTGGTTTATTTGGCATACGGCCTAATTTATGAACCTTTTTTGTCATGTTCTAAATGTTTATTAATAATGGACATTGGTAGAAATTGTATCATTTTCATAGTTAAAATAACGAATGATCTTAATTAAACAACCATCGAGAACCTAGAAGCACTGAATGGCCGTTTCGTTGTTGCTTGTGGCCCCTCAGCGGTGCGCATTCGTAAACCCGCAAGCAGGATCTTCAGTCTTGCAAGTGAACACTTAGACTCCAGACCACAAAGGAGTATCATACTACAACAAAACAGCCGTTCATTGGTTCCAGGTTTTCAATGATGGTTTATGTAACTAACTTATTTAAAAGAATATTAAAGTTATAGATTTTAGTTTTATGCTCAGCCACTTGACTTGTAATTTACATGTAGTATAATTTTTATTGTGAAATGAGAATACTTGATTGTATACAAAATGCACACAAGGTAAATATCAATGTTAAAAACAAAAACAGTAAACAAAAATCATATGATTTATTGACTAGTCATGAGATGTGCATTGGATCATTTCAGTTCATATTATATAAAAATAATGCTAATTGATTTATTTTGTAATTGTGAACTCTACTAACATAAGTTTTGAGTGATGTTTCTTAAACATTGTTTGTATTTAAAGAAAATCAAGAATTGAGATCACTTGAGGAATTTGTAAGGATTCCTGAGTACTGGATAATTGTTTCATTCTGTTTCGGGATTCATCAGTACAATGCACTTTCTACTCTGATATCTCTACTGGGTTAATTAAACACAATGGGCACAATATCGTTCAGTGAATCGGTTGAAGATTTTCAAATACTCTTGATTTCCAACATAGTGAGTGTGGATAGTGGTTGGGAATAATTTAATGCATGAATAAACCAGCTAGTCAGTGGCGATTATTTAGATCACTGAACCAAAAACGAGTTGGATTTATGGCTAACAAGCTATCACTGAACATAGTAATGATGCTTTAAAGCGAAATATCTGATTCATAGTTGAAGGCAAGTTTTATAACCTTTAGTTTACAAAGTGAGACTCAATTAATCTAGATAAATTAGTTACTGAATGTCTGTTTAAGCCTATCGCTAGTTCTGGATGATGGTTGGATAGTTGGTCGTTTTTTAAAAACATAAGGATAGTTTCTAGTCGTACTGTATTAAAAATATTGTCAATCTAGGTTCTATTTTATTCAGTGTTCGACGTGCGGTTAGTGACGGTAATATATTGATGCCCTTGGAGAGGAGACAATCATCAAATCTAGACTGTTGTTATGAGTAAAAATGACCTCATTGTAATTGTATTCGAATTTCATACTGTGTAACTATTCGATATTTTGTTTCGTTAAATTGTGGTTTTGATTTATTGTCTGATTTTCAAACTGGCAGTCGGATAATGTATTTGCATAACCCGTATCGCAGTTTAGTTTTCTCAGTTGTGTGATTCAGTCCAGTATAATATTATTATCATATTTTGTACCAGAAGCTAAAGCCTTGATTAATTTTGCTACTACATTAATATTCTTTTGCGATGTATGAAAAGAGGGATAACTATAAAAATATGGGCATGATACTGAATGATGCTTATATAACATGTCTGGAGTTAGAAACGTGAACCATAGGACACTGACTTTTTAAAATCAGGTCCACTAAACGGGTTCAATATCTTGAGTTAGTTCTTTATCAGTGTACTTAAAGCTGTTCAATATATCCAAGTTTTCAAAGACCTTTCTAACATCTTTAGCGAACTCCTTATGCACTTATGTTTTTTAAGCAAGTTTCGGTGTTAAGATCTCTTTTCTATCCATGTAAAAATGGATGTTAACTCTATTTTCTGAATAAATGTTATCACAGCTTTAGGAAATGATCGATTCATAGTGTTTTAATTTGAGTGAATTATCAAACGAAAAGCTATCGATTTATTCACGAATCATTAAAATGGTCGTCCAGTACTTCCAGGTTTTCAGTAGTGGTTTGACATTGATTGGTTCATGATTTCGATGATATTATATTGTTACAATCTAAGGAGGATTATTCATGTTACTTAAATAAAGGGTATAACCGTTATAAAAGTTTTATTCCTTATTTCTACTGTGTTGTTCTGGATAGGAGCAAGAATGCACTAAAATGAACTTTTACAAAAGTTGTGACTTTCAATCCTGAATAAATAGCACACATACACCTTATGAATGAATGGCATATGAACATGTGATTTTCATGAGAAGATAACTGTCGAGTTTTTGTATTTGAATCAAAAGTCAGAGGAACTCATAAAGTGACTTTGTAATATGATTTGAGGGGCTTATCAATGTTTGTTTTTTGCACAACGCAAGACAGTTAGAAATATCCGTTTTATGAATTTAACTTTAAATGCATTAATTTTCAGAATGTACACTCTGGTTTCATACTCATTTCCTTAAATGGTTTATAAAACTAGAAATGTTTCAGTTTTACTATTGAATGTTTTCACTTTAAAAATGAATGTTATTTGAAGTTCTTACCTATCTGGAATCGTTGTGGAACATTAAGTGATTAAAATTACAAGCAGATACTTCAATGCTGATTCTAATCACGTTGTACACACGCTTGAATTATGAACCGTAGCATTCTGATAGACATGGTATAGAAGTAGATAAAGTTAGTATGATGGAAAACTGCACCGTTCATTTATGGAGTATAAAGTAAATTCAAATTTCATATTGTGATTCTACGTTTGTGTATTTATTTAAGACTCTGTAGCATGGTTGTCCACTATCGCCATTGTTGATTTCAGACTGGATAACAAGTGCCTGGTGTATACTGTAGCTAGCCTGATCGTAGCTGCTACCTTGACGTGGTGGTCTAGCTTACCTATCGGGTTGAGCCAACAGAGCTATATTGGCTGGGAAATATGTTCCTGAAAGTTATATCATGCCAGGTAGGTCGATTGGAGTACGATGAAACTAAAATCAGCAACTTAAGGTCGAAGAGCGAAGTCGTACTTCTGACTGTAGAGGGGTGTGGCAGCAGTAAGGTGTTTCCCTCGAACAACCAGCATCTACAACGATACCTTCTCACAAGGAAGGAAGGGGTGAGAAAAGGTCGGCCCTAAAATTGTCACACCTCATCTTACTTCATGGATTTCCGTCTCCGGCGGTAGGGCTTTTTAAAAAGAGCGCAGTCAACATTTTGAAAACTTCCCATAAAAAGGCCGTGCGTGAACGGCCCTAAGCATTTGTCCCTTGGGCTCTGCGGTCACGCCACCAGGTCTGTAAGACTAACACTAACCCGACTTCTTTTTCAAAATCAAAAACATATTTTCGGAGCAACTAGAAAAAAAGTCGGCAGCTTGGTCATAAGGTCAAGGAGAATCAGTAGCATCTACTGATGGGTGCTCCGAAACTTATACCATCTAGCTTTGAACGGGATGAGGAGCGGAGCCAGCTTAAACGCATGCTGATAAGCAGCCTGCGCATCGATCGCGAACAGTGGTGGGCAGCGAAAACAAGGGAGTTGGGAAAGGCAGCGATGATAGGTAACAGTAGACAACTATTCAGACTTATCAAGGAAATCGGTATTAGGGACCCGAATGTAAGTGAGACTATCTCGGAAAAGGATGGGCTTATAACTCATTCTCAATGCAGGAAATTGGATACATGGGCAGAAAATTTCAGGGATCAATTCAACTGGCCTTCAGCCACACTTCGATTGCTCATGATCTCCATTCATCCTGAATGGCGAATCGATTTAAGTCCTCCGAGTCATTATGAGGTTGAAAAAGGAAATCGAAATGCAAAATATTATTTCGAGATTGGCTTGTATCGGGACCTGAACTAGTGGCAGGGAGTGAGGTAGATGAGCGTGTCAACCACGAGATACCCGTTTGCCAACCAAAGGACGAGTTTGCTCTGCAGCAGTTCGCTCAGTTTTACTTTATGGTTGTGAAACATGACCAGTAAGAGCAGAAGATATTCGTAGGTTACTGGTTATCGATCATAGTTGTCTCCGAAGCATTGATCGTCTATCTTGGGACTATTGACAAAACAATGCTGTGGTTAGGAAATGGATACTTGGTAGGGATGGCAGATCAATTGGTGAAGTAGTGAAACTTCATTAGTTGAGGTGGTTGGGACATGTGTTACGTATGTCTAACCACCGACTGCCTCAAAGAGCTATGTTTTGTGGTTTAGGAGTAGGTTGCAAGAAAGCTAGGGGCGGCTTAACCAAAACATAACAGAAATCCATGAAGTCACTCACAACTGGACTCAGTCATGTTGGTAGATGTAGGCTACCTCCAGACGATAGTAACCGATGGTTAGGGACCTTGAATGAAATGGCTCAAAATCGTTTGCAATGGCGCAGGTGTATCCAACTCTTAGAGTTCCATGAAATTCTAATCTGAATTTCTCATCACCACTATCTTACTCTTCCTAAATTCATCTCATTGAATTATACTTCTTGAATAACATCTTAAAACCCTAATCTTCTCCATTACCAGTAATACTTCTACTATCTCTACCACTATGGGATTTGAACTGACAGTTGTGTCTCCGTGGTAATGTGGTATGGCAGCCTGAACTGATGTACGTACGTACGAAGTTCTGCGTTGTATCTGACTGACAAATTTTAGCTAGAATTACAAATACAAAATTCAGATTATGTAGATAACTTTCTACAATTTTATGCAAACGATAACTTAATGTAGTCAGTGTTAACTAACTGGAATAATAGTTTATCCATTGAAATTTGGTCAGCAATAATTTCAATAATTATTAGCTACGGACAGTACAGCTGCATAAACCACTACGATTTCTTCTACAGTACTTGACTGATTTTTATTACGCAGTAGGCTCATAGTGAACTTTGTGATTTGTAAAATTGTCATCTTTAAGAAGCTGGTATAATCTGATCAGTTGTTTTACAAAACTAAAACAAATACGAAGGCAAGTGCTAGAAAGTACAATCAACTATTGAATACATTAAAAGTATAGTGTAGGGACCGATAATAATAATTACATCAAATTGAGAAGACAGTATGCTTCATGGAAAGCCTCTTGTAATTTCTCAATTTTTGGTTTTTTCTACAAGGCTATGATGATAAATTATTCTTTGTAAGGAGGTAAAGAATTTGGCACAAATATATATAATATATATTAACAAAATCCTATACAGAAAACTGTACAAAAAATTGCAGTTATTGATTAATTTTTTCATTGAATTCAAAAATATTCTCTTGTGGTACATAGTTTCTTTTTTTGTTTGTTGATGATATGGATCGTAATTATTGTTAAGATGTGGGGAACAGGAGATTGTAGAAAAGTGCAATTGAGATGATACAACTGACAATTGATTCGATTGAGTAAATAGATGAGTATTAGAAATGCAATGTAGTTGCAATCAATTCCGCAATATCGTCCATAATCTAAAACAAGCATAACAATGAATCAGTAATGTAAATAATAACAGTCAGTTTATTTTCAAATACAAAAGTGCATCGGCTTGATTTGCCGAAATTGAGGACTAAGAAGGGAAGAATTTTAGAACAGAATAAGAAAAACTCTAGTTGATTACATTTTAGTTAGTGGTGGATTGGAGAACGCATACTTCAACAAGAGGTTGATACACAAATCTAATCCAGTTATTGACAAATGTCATACTCAATGAAAAGTTTTGCGACTATCATGACCTACTGCTCTTCTGTTTGGACTGATAGGTATTGAGATAAAAGTGAATCTAATCGATGAGTTGAAAATAGGATGAAACACACATTCTGGATTCTACTACTAGTTAATGCTCTGGAACAATTTACCTCACAATCTATCCGTGAAATACAACAACTCCCATCCTTTATTCACCGGATCAATGTATACTACTTCACAGAAAATGCCTGAAATGTGCGTACAGCTGTAAGTATACCCCATTCTACAAGTGAAATTACAGGGACTCTTAGTGTTTCATCGTTTTATTACTGAACCTACTAGTTAACCACCTTGTTTGCAGAAACTTTACATTACAACTGTCTCGTGTAAATTTAACTAATTTGAATAATATTTAACTCGAACATTAAATCATGAAATAACCTTATAACTGAATCATGATAGACCTGACTGATTGATCGTTGTAATTATTGCTTTCGCACGTCCACGTTCTCTGTTTTCATATTATTTTCTCTACTTATAAATGATTATAAGTAATGCGTTAGGGCACTAGAAACGATAATTGATAGATCGCCCATACTGCAATACAGTGTCTAGTTACAAAGAATTCATAGTTCTTGACTGATGCCTTGCATTACTATTATGTATGTGAAAAATGTACTGTCTGGACAATTTTAGAACTAGAACACTTGAGACAATATCTATCCCTTACATTAAACATTTATTACTATATCAAGCTGATCATGCCTGTAAACTGGCTTGAATTCTGTAATTATTATTTTCAGAATATATTTAATTAAGATATAAATAAAAAAATTGTAAATGTTCCACAGATTGGTAGGTCTACGGATAACTGAATAATTTTATTAAATCAACATGCATAGATTTATTTGTGGTTACTCATATAAATGTTGATATTATTATGTATTGGAAATGGTTTATTATTGATCAGGATAGGAAAATAATGAAATAGAAATTTTTAAAGCATTTATGAGATTTTCCAGAATGAATGCTACAAACAACAAAGGTAGGGGGATGTTATATGACATAAAACAAGTGAACTGTTTGCAATTTAATGTATTTTAATTATCATATTTAATTTAATGAACTCGGCTACTAGACAGAACTAGTATAAGATAGGAGTTTGAATGTGCGGTCTAGTGAGGAAGAGGTTGAGTTGCTGAGCCAGGAGCAAGCTTAACAGTCGATCGACTCCAATATACACTAATCTGTATCAGATATTCATGAAGTTATGTGATAATTTCTGCTACCGATTACTAGTATGAGTGCAAAAACATAAACAAAGATGGATTTCTAAAATATTATAAAAAGAAGATCAAATCGGCCAAGGAAAGCACTGATCGAATTACATTAATAAACTAAAATTCTAATAGTTAGGAATTTTTAACACCTCTATCATCATATGATATAATGCAGTTTATCATTAATTAGTTGGATTCATAAAAAATTTCTAATTTCTCGTAGGAATCCATTATTTTAGCGATTGACAAGAAAAGAAGTGAATTTACTTGGGCTTTCATTATAGTTTACTGGTAAATAATTGTTGTCAAGTTAAATGATTAACAACATTCTGAAATTGCTTCATCGTGTTTTTGTCAGCATAGTTCGTGATCTAAACTTATAGAAATCTTCAATAATAAAATATTTGGAGCATAACACACATAAGAATTTCGTGATAAAAATGATTTGACAAGTGTAATAGTGTGTCATAAGAATGAAATGTGTAAAGTAAAACACACACACACACAATAGAAATCAAATAACATTTCTTACACGTAATATAATATAATATTGTGAATATCTCATAACTTGAAAATAAAAATGAAACAATGAATTAGATGTAAACGTACACTTTCTAAACTTTGACCAGATTTTTTAGCTATCTCTAAACGTTGACAATGTGGTAAAGTTAGATAACGCCAAATCAGATCACCATCGGCAACTTTACCGCATGGATTAGCTAATTCTGGTTGAGGACGATTATACGACCTAGATGAAAAAAACAAAACAACAAGATTAAAGTACAATATCATTTATATCACACTTTATCACATTTACAATACAGTGACATGACGTCTGTGAAATGGTCTGATGAATTCGAATTTATGTTTTAAACTGAGATCAGATCAGATATTAGATTCTCTATCCAAAAAATAGTTATGATGCAATCTATTATTTAAAAAAACCACACGTGGGCATACATGACGATGAGAGAGGAAAATAAATAGACCAGCATTTGTCAGTATGTTACACATCAGCAAGAAATACATACTTGATGGATTTCTGCCATGTTTTGGTCTGGCCACCACTAGCTTTCGTCCAACCTATCCCTACATCGTATAACATAGCTTGACGAGGCAGTCGGTGGTTAGGCATACGTAACACAGGTCTCAACCACCCCAACTGATGAAGTTTCAATACTTCAGCTATTGATCTGCCATCCTAACCTAGCACCCGTTTCCTAACGACAGCATTGCTTTATTGATAGTCCCAAGATAGATGAGCAGTGCTTCGGAGACACCTATGATCGACAACCAGTAACCTACGAATATCTTCTATTCTTACTGGTCATGTTTCACAGCCAGTCAGCATATATATAATTAACAAGTATTCATTTTAAACGGTAAGCTTACATAAATTTACAATATAACGCTTAAAAAGAATGGATGGATTGTGGCTAGCACTGGAATCCCAGATAAAGTGTTTTATTTTATTTGGTACTTATTAAGTGAATAGATTTGCATTTTTGTATTATTATTCACATTGTAACTCGAAGTTGATACTTGAATATCAATTATAAATCAAATTATTAATTACAGCGATAAGTATTGATTAAAATTAAGTCATTGTTTTTTAGTTTTACAGATGAATAATTACATAATGAATTTTTTCACAAATCAATATTGTCATCGTTCATAAAGATATGCTCTATTTTTATTTCTAACTATACAAATTTGTCAATAAAGTTACAGTTTAATTAGACAAATAAAAGACATCGAATTTTTAGACTTATATTACATATTAAATAATATTTTGAGAAAATTATCCAACAGAACAGAAATCAATGTACAATGAATATTAGAAAAAGACTTACCAGCATGATTTAGGCGGCATACCACATATAGGTCCAAGATGATGAATTAAATTTTTCTCTGTTATACGAAGGCGACTATACATTTTATCACGTATAGGACCAATTCGATAAATGGAACCATTTTGACTGCCTAAAATGTTAAAAAAGCAAAAGCAACGCATACTTAGGGTTGTAATAACAGGACAAAAATTATCAGGATAACAGTAACTTATAGAAATATCTTATGACGAATTATTGCTTATACTGTTGTTGTATAATTAATTATTTGACATGTGTATTACTGCATCTCTATATTCTGTTAACGATAATCTTTTGTTTGACACACAAACTACTATTGTTTCTCGAAGACATAACATGAGTATTTCACAACAATCACAAGCATACATAAAATAAGAATATCGGTGAAATATGGCCTAATCCAGATATTACCATGACAAACCATTTTGTTTTCTTCTTTCCAAATACTCAAGATTTTCATTTTAGTTCGATTTATCAGATATTTTATTATAGACTTCGGGTTACGGATTAAATTGTAACCGATATTTTTTTGAAGCGATTTGATTTTTGAAGATGAGTAGTTTAGTCGTGCAGCTTTCGTTGTATTTCTTGACAATATCAGCACACGCCTTTAGAAAGTTAAAATTTATCCACCACTAGTTAATCGCTTGTTCTAATAGCCTAGAATTTGGTTGAATGTTGTTTAGAGGTGTGCTGACGTTGTTTGCATGTTAGTTTTGATTTTTTCTTTCATATACGAGCTGATTTCTGATGTTGTTGATGTGTTGGGCATGGAGTTAGCGACCCCATCCCGTAGAAAACTAACTCTTTAAAAAATAATTCAAACCATTTTAACTCTGCCCTGGGAGTTAGGTCTTTAATTAGACGAGTTATGATGTCTCATGATGAAAGCCGAGGCCGAAGCCCTTTCTGAAAACCAGAGCAACCATTCTTTTGGGTACATGGAATGTCCGAACAATGTGGGACACCGGAAGACTGTTCCAAAATGCTGAAGAGATGAAAAGATAGAACATGAAGGTGCTTGGAATTAATGAAACACATTGGACGCAAGTTGGACAACTAAGACTGGCTTCAAGAGAGATGCTATTATACTCCGGCTGTGAAGAACAAAATTCCCACCACAAAAGGAATCGCACTGATGTTGTCCAAATATCTGGAACTCCAAACAACTACCAACCAACACCAAAGTCAGAACTTTCAATACGAATGTGAAAACAGTTCTACTGTATGCGACGGAAACTTGGAGAACCACCAAAGCCACCATCCAGAAGATACAAGTATTTATTAACAGTTGTTTATGCAAAATACTTCAGGTCCATTGGCTAGACACCATCAGCAAAAATCTACTATGGGAGAGAACAAACCAGATTCCAGCGGAAGAATAAATCAGGAAGAAGCGATGGAAATGGATAGGATATACACTGAGGAAATGACCCAACTGAGTCACAAGACAAGCCTTCACCTGGAATCCTCAAGTATAAAGGAAAAGAAGAAGAACAAGGAACGCATTGTGCTAAGAAGTGGATACAGACATGAGAAGAATGAACAAATTTCGAACAGAACAGACCTATGTCATCTGAATATTCTGAGTCAAAAGTAGAGCTCTTGATAGAAGGTCGACCCTCGTCAGATGAGTGTTATCTCTAAATGCATGTCCGTGAAAAAATTAAACAAAAACGGGGAACGTGGTCAACTCAGAAGAATATCACTTGAAGAAATTAATGTTCACTGAGCGGCGACACAATAAGATCCACAAAAGTTTCTTTCGGTTTGATTAAGTCTATCCTATTGGACAGTAAAATTACTCACCACTATAATTACATCAGAGCGTTCAGTTTTTTAACTCCAAACAACTTTCAACCAAAACCAAAATCAGGATTTTCAATACAAATGTCAAGACAGTTCTACTGTATGGAGCGGAAACTTGGAGAACTACCAAAGCCATCATCCACAAGATACAAGTGTTTATTAACAGTTGTCTACGCAAAATACTTCGTATTCGTTGGCCAGACACCATCAGCAACAACTTACTGTGGGAGAAAACAAACCAGATTCCAGTGGAGGAGGAAATCAGGAAGAAGCGGTGGAAGTGGATAGGACACACATTGCGGAAAGCACCTAACTGCGTCACGAGACAAGCCCTCACATGGAACCCTCAAGGCAAAGGAAAAGAGGAAGGCCAAGGAACATATTACGCCGAGAA